TGCCCCCAGGTGGGGGCCGGCACCCCAGCCCCTCTCCTTTTCCTGGACTCCGGCCACGTGCCACAGCCCAGGTGTTTGCTCAGTTTGCTGACCCGAAAGTGCTTCATTTCTTCTGCCGACCCGCGCCCGGGGAGGCCAGTCATGTGTTAAGTTGCGCTTCTTTGCTGTGGTGTGGGTGGGACGGGGCGGAGTGCACGCAGTGCTGGCTCGGTGGCCCTGAGGGGCTCCAAGCGCAGTTTCATCTGGGTTCTGGTGCCCTCTCACTCACCCACCCCCCAAATCAGACAAACGCCACTTTGTCTGACCTGCTGTGGCCTGAGACATGTTGTATTTTTAACCCCTTCTGGGAATTGGCTCTCTTCTTCAAAGGACCAGGTCCTGCTCCTCTTTCTCCCCCATTCCGCCCCCAGCTCCCTGCGAAGAGAGAGTTAATATATATTTTTATTTATTTGCTTTTTGTGTTGGGATGGGCTCGTGTCCGGTCCCAGGGGTCTGATGTGGCCATCGCGGGTTGGGTGTGTACCCAGCAGCCCTGGCTCGGGGGCCTACAGCCCTTCCCCTGCCCCAGGCTGCCATCTCCCCTCCTCCCCTCCCCTTCCTCAGTTTTGCCAACTGCTGTTCACTGGAGTCACCATGTACGCTAAGCATGTATTCAGACTTTCACTGACTTTCCTTCTGAAGCAGGTGGCCAGAAAGAGGCTCTGGGCAGGAGAAAATGTTCCTGTTTCCCATTCGTAAGGCTGGCCCCTGGCTTCTCTGCCATGGATCCTCCCCTGCCCTCTTCCCTCGGCAATTCCTGCAAAGGGTTAAAAATTTAACTGGTTTTTACTACTGATGACTTGACTTAAAAAATTACAAAGATGCTGGATGCTAACTTGATACTAACCATCAGATTGTACAGTTCGATCGTTACTTGTAAATATGATAGAGTTTCGTTGTTGTTGTTTTCTTTTCCATTCCCCATACTCTGAATAAACTAGTTCTGTGCGGGAAAGGTGCTGTCATCCTGCGCTTCCCTGTGTGACAGGCGCCCTGTCCTCCCAGAGGCAGCCTGCATGCATTTCAGAATGTGTGTGCACACACGAGAGACAGAGAGGCACTCTCCAAAGGGCTCAGTCATGCCATGACCCCTTTCCTGCAGCCCTCTAGGTCACCAGGATCCCGGGCGTGTCCAGTGTTTTCAGACCATCTGGGCCAGGGACTCGAATGAGCATGTGGTTTCCAGCTCCGCATTCTGCATGCTCCCAGGTGCGCCACAGAGCCTGGGCCTCGGGACCACTGTGTGTTTTCTCCCACCAGAAAATGCAACGATTACCAAGCGTGCGCTCTGCGATGTGGCTTCTCATCCCAATTTTGTGTTTGTCAAGGGCCCGGCCAAGCTGGAAAGGGAGTTAACCTGGGAACAATTTAGTAAGAACACAAACCCTAGATCCAGACTGAGTGACTGAATCTCTCTGAACCTTAGTTTCTCTGCCTGCAAAATGAGGATGGTGATGATGGCATCCACACTGAGGTTTTATGAGGATTACAGGAGTTAACACGTGCAGCGTGCTTAGAACAGTTCACAGTGGCCTGGGACTGATAAACGCTGACTTTCCTTATTGCTCCTGGGTAGGGGTAGAAGCCTGCTCAGGCCACAAGGAAGGAGGTGGGCAGGTGGCTGAACTAGAAAGGCAGCTGCAACAGGTGGGACTCCTCCCTGACTGGCGTGGCCTCCAGAAAGTGCAGCTCAAGCAGCTTTGGAGTGGGAGGTGGGAGCAGGGAACGGAATCCAGCCCAAAAAAGGGTGAGAACATGCCTTGCCCCTCACCAGCCACTAGATGGCAACAGACCTCAGGCCTGCCTCTAATGACCCACCGGAGGCAGGGCCCACACCCAGTACTTGAAAGCACGCCACCTGCTGGCCGTACTACGTGGGTTCCCTAAGTTTGCTGACCTTCTGTAGAGCTGGAAGTCGCCAACCGGCCCTGCTCACTAGACACAGTGCAGGACAAAGCTAGGAAACACACTGGAGATTTTCTCGCCTTATGCTAAATGTCTCCAGAGCCAAACACTTGGTATTTGTCTCCACGGTCTTCCTACATCCATTCCAGGAATCCCAGAATATGTGGTTAGGGAAAATGGTGAAAATGCTTGATTTTTTTTCTTTCTTTTTTTTTGGAGAGGTTTTTGCTATAGGGCGCATGTGCTTGCCACACAGACAGAGCAAAGACAGAGAGACAGAAAGCGAGAAATCACCCCCCAGGGGGGATGGTCACGCCGCAATCCCTTCTCCTCCATTCTCGGGATCTTGGGCACACACGCACACGCGCCTGGTGTGAGTTTAAGCTGCCGGGTCCAGGACTTGAGCCGCAGTCGACTACATGAGAGTCCAGAGACGTAGCCATTACACTAACTGCTGGTCCCAAAATGCCTGATTTTTTAAGATTTTTTGCTACAGGGCTCGTGTGCTTGCTGGAAAGACAGAGACAGAAAGTGAGAAGGCCATCCTGCAATCCCTTCTCTTCCATTCTCCCCTCAGGATTCTGGGTAAGCATGCATGCCTTGTGTGAGTTTTAAGCCACCAGGTCTGAGACTCGAACCATGAGTGACCATGTGGGAGTCCAGCAACATAACCATTATGCCATCTGCTGGTCACACATTTCCCTTTTGGATTTTTCAGGGGGCCTCTGTAAACATCCAAAAGTTACTTTGAGGTTAAAGAACTTAATTGAGAATTTGATTTGGGGGAAACCTCGTCAGAGATAGCTAAAAGCTTAAATATTTGACTTACTATTGACTGTCAACAGAAAATGAAAGTTAAATTGTTTTCCAAGCACATTAGGGTTTCCTTCAGTCATTCAGAATTCATAAATCCAAGGTGTTCTGGAAGCATGGTGTTTCTGCTGTTTCGTAACGCACAGGCACGACCAGGGCACCAGCTGGAGTTCCATTTCCCTTTGCCCAGTTGCCAATGCCCTCGAGTCATGACCCGGCCTTTGTGACACAGTTGGTAGTGTACTAGACTGTAGCGTTAAACACCACATGCTAACTACAGTTCAAGTCCCTGGCTGAGAATCCCGTCTGCTGGAGGACTGCAGGAAGGGGACTGCAGCATGACCGAGCCCTTTGGAGGGTGCATGCATTTGTGCACTATCATTAAAATGCCCATGAGGTCCCTCCGCGGGGGTGTGGTGACAGTGCACTGCTCTATTGTGCTGGATCCACCAGAGACCAGGTTCGTTCCTGGGTCAGCCTATACACCCAGGCATGTGCACACACCCGCGATCCTGGCAGGCTGGGAAGACTGGGGGAGGGCTGTGATGTGAGACTCTGCTGAGAGTGTTTGTTTGTTCTGTCTCTCTCTCATAAATTAAACTAAAACCAAAAAACAAAAAAGAGCTCCACTAGGAATTGAGTTGGTTCTGGTTATGAGTCAAAGGTTATAAAAAAAAGGGAGACCCTAAGCTGAGTCTGTTGCATCTTCATCATTCATTCTATAGATACTCACCATCTTGCATTCAAATATGAGGACTTCAAAACTTCATGGAAAATGGAATTAAAGTATGAATTTAGGGCCAGCGGGTGGCATGGAGGTTAAGGCGCTGGATCCCACACGGCCAACTGTGCAGTTCGAGTGCTGGACCCAGTAGCTTGAGAATCACATTGAGGGGAACCAGCAGTTAGCGTAATGGCTATGTCGCTGGACTCCCATGTAGTTGACCATGGTTCGCGTCCCGGACCCGGTGGCTTAAAACTCACGCCGGGCGCGTGTGCGTGCGTGCCCAAGATCCCAAGAGGACAATGGAGGAGAAGGGATTGCGGCGTGACCATCCCCCCTGGGGGGTGATTTCTCGCTTTCTGTCTCTATGTCTCTCTCTCTGTCTGGCGAGCGCATGCGCCCTATAGCGAAAACCTCTCCAAAAAAAAAAGAATCACATTGAGTACATGTACATGTGCACCCCAAATCCTGAGAGGAGACTGAAGGAGAAGGTGCTGCAGCACGGCCATCTCTTCTGGGGTTGATTTCGATTTCTCACTTCTGTCTCTCTGGCAAGTACTCGTACCTTACAGGAAAAACTAAAAGTATGAGTTTATCCTAGTGTAAAAAATTCTGAAACCCATGCAGTTTTCTCATAATATGCACTTGCCATGAACTTTTTTTAAAAAAGAATTTTAATTAATTAATTTTAATTTGACCAGAGAGACAGAATGAGAAAGACAGAATATGAAAAAGCAAACCTCCAGGTCTGAGATTTGAACTGTGGTTGACCATGTGGGAGTCCAGCGTCTTAACCACCACACCACCTGCCAGCCTCAAAGGCTTATATATTTTTCAGCCTAACTGAATGAAATGTCCTCCACACACAAGTCACAACAATAGGGTGCTGCAGAGGTTTACACACCCTGATACTGGCCCACGTCTAGTGGGAGGTAACAGAATGTGGTCAACTCTAATGACGTAAGGTGCAATGTGACAAAGGGTTCTAGTAAACACTACAAAGGACCAGAAAGAACATTCAAGTTTAGGATATAAACAACCATTTACTTAGATCCTGGCTTGGCTTCACATGTTGTGAATGAAACTATTCTTAACTTTGGATCGGCCCTTGACTTAGTAGTTAAGAGTCAGATCCCAAATGGTCAACTGTGACTTGAATCCTGGCTCCAGTGGCTTGAAAAACACACTGGGTACATGTGCCTGTGTGCCTAAAATCCTAACGGGATAGAGAAATGAAGGAGAAGGGAATTGGAGTGTGCCCACAACCCATCGTGTGGTACTTTCTGGCTCCCTCTCATTCTCTGTCTCTGGAGCGCACACGTGCCCTCTGGCAATTGAAAAAGAATTTTAAAAACCTGCTCTTTGATCTGGACCTTCTAATAATATATGAATCCCAGAAAGAGGGAGTCTCTTCCCACCTAATGCCAACAAGGGGGGTAGCCACATCGGATGAGCTGGACTTCAAGGCCTGAGCGCCTGTTCAGGCCTCTGCATGGGAAGCTCATCAGGGCTCACACACTGGAATTACACAGAACTTTATTCCACATTTGTTAGAAACTGGAACAGGATCTACTTTTAGATACACAGAGAATATAAAAATACATCCACTTTTAGAAAAATGCAGTCTGATGGAGTAAGCTTATCATAAACTGGCCTGTTAGGAGTCACAGAATACACAGGAAGCAAATTCTAGAAACCAGGTGCCGGCCTCTGTGTCTCCAAACAGGCCCGAGTCCAGCAGAGGTTATGATTCCGGAAGACCTCTCCTTAGAGCAGAGAGGGTAGCTGCAGAGGCCATTCACATGTAAATGTCCAGTGAACCAGTGCCTGGGAAGAAGATCAAACTCCAGCTGACCACAGGAGTGGGGGTAGATGAGGACAACACTCCCCTGCATTGCTCATTTTCTGTTTGCTAATTTCACTGCTGAGAGGTGACCTCTTTTTCCCTAATTTTTTTTCAACTCAAGAGAGTTTGAAACTCCTCCAGCTCAACCCTAATCCACCCCATCTCCCATGGTCTCTCCTCAGGGTACCAGCCCTGGTGGCATCTTCTCCTCCTGTCCCCAGGCCAGGACCTGCTGGTAGAGGCGTGTCCAGGCAGTGACTGTAGTGGTTTGCTACTGAATTCTTCCTTGCTGTCCTTTCCTCTTTACCTAAAGAGACAGAAAGAAGAACTGCTTTATACCATCTTTCTTCCGCAAGCTCGTTTATCACTAAACAGTTCAAGCTCCTGAGGGTAGGAAGAGATGGGACCCTGCCCCACCGCAGTCCTGGCTCCAGGTCCCCTCCTTATCCTCATCTTTCCACACAGAATGCAGGGCCCACGTGGAGGCCTGGGGGTAGGAAATAGGCTAGTCTTACCTGGTAGGTCCCGGGACAGCGACTTTCCTGGAGGGCTGCAGACTGCCACGCGTGGTACCGGGGACAGGAAGATTTAGTCGTTGGGAAACAGGAACTTGACGGGGGTTAACAAAAAAATAAGTGAGTGGAAAATTTAACTGAGCTTCTCAAAAAGAAATACCACATGAAGGCAGATGAACCTGGGATTAGCCCTGTGCCTCAAGTTAAAAACCAGTAGGTCTTTGGAAATCAAGGTTCAGGTTCTTATTTATTTATTTATTTATTTATTTATTTAGAGAGGTTTTTGCTATAGGGCACGTGCGCTCATCAGACGGAGAGAGACATACAGACAGAAAGCGAGAAATCACCCCCCCAGGGGGGATGGTCACGCCGCAATCCCTTCTCCTCCATTCTCCTCTCAAGATCTTGGGCACACACGCACACGCGCCCGGCGTGAGTTCTAAGTCACCGGGCCCGGGACGTGAACTGCGGTCAACTACGTGGGAGTCCAGAGACATAGCCATTACGCTAACTGCTAGTTCCCCCAAGGCTCAGGTTCTTTACCCAGCCCTACATGCACTCCTTAAACTGATCTCCCCACCTTCATATAGAATTATAAGGAAATGGCAAAAGTGGTCGTGGTTGCCGGCTCTGAGAAGGGGAGGTCAGGATAGGTGAGAGTAGGTATTCTTCCTGATTCCCTTTTTTTTTTTGGGGGGGGTACACTATGGCAGATTTTTGCCATAGTGTACATATGGTTGCCAGAGACAGAAAGAGGGGAAGTGAGAAATCACCTCCAAGGAGGATGGCCACATCACAATCCTTTCTCCTCCATTCTCTTATCAGGATTTTGGGCACTCATGCACATGTATCCAGCGTGTTTTTCAAGCCTCCAGGTCTGAGACTCGAACAGAGTTAGCTATGAGGGATCCAGCTCCTTAACCACCATACCACCCAATGGCCCTCTTCCTGATTTATTACCCTTATATTCACTTTCCCTCACCTCTGTTCCCTGCAGCACCTGGTCTTGGAAGCCCTTTTCGAGTCGACAGGGTATCTAGAGGCAGGGCCCCCTTGTTGGGTGGGATATTCCGGTTGGCAAGAGGCAGGCGGCTGGCAGGCCTAGAGGTGGCTGAGGGAACGGGCAGTCGACTAGAAGATTTAGCAGCTGCTCCCTGGGGCCGAGACAGGCGTTGAGAGTTGCTGGTAGAAGGCTGTGGGGCCAGGACTGGTCGGAGAGAGGTAGGTGGGCCTGATGGAGAGGAGTAGAGAAATTTCAGGGGAAATTCCACATCCTACCTACTCCTTCACCCCAGCTTTGCTACCCATGTCTTCTCACTTGCTTTTGCTCCCCCACTGGGTCTAGCTCTCCCTCGGATTGGAGGAGTCGATCTTGGAGGAGTTGATCGGATTGGAGGAGTTGATCTTGGGTGAGGTGATCGGATTGGAGGACTTGATGTTGGGTGAGTTGATCTTGGAGGAGTTGCTCTTGGAGGAGTTGATCTTGGAGGAGTTGATCGGGCAAGAGGAGAAGATGCTGGGTTTTTGGATGCGGGGAACAGATGGCAAGAAGGAGACTCCTGAAACACAAAGACAGGAAAAAAATTACTAGAAGGGAGAAATGATCTGTTTTGTGTCTTAAGACATTTCTTAAGGGATTAAGAAATAGAGGTGGAGAGCTGTCTATAGCTCAGTAAGGAAGGGCAGAAGTTAGCTGCCAATATCACCATCACTGCAGGTTGAGCATCTCTAATCCGAAAATCCAGAGTGCTCCAAAATCTAAAAATTTTTAAGCACTAACGTGGTGCCACAAGTGGAAAATTACCTACTTGACCTTACATGGTCATAGTCAAAACACTGCAATACAAAATAGCTTACAGAAAATTACCTTTAGGCTATGCATGTAAGGAATATGTGAAACACAAATGAATTTTATGTTTAGACTTGGGTCCTGTACCCAAGGTAGCTTATTACAAACATGCAAATATTCTAAAACCCAAAACCTGCAACACCTCTGGTCCCAAGCATTTCAGATAAGGTATACTCAACCTTATACCAATATACCAATATCCTTTACTGAGGATTTATTACAGACATTATAGAGCTTACACACTGACACTGTGCTAAGTGTATTACTTAGGGTATCTCATTCAATTCCAATAATTCTAGAGGCAAAATTACTGTTACCATCTTTCAAAAGAATATTTATTTAATTTCATTTGTTATTATTATTTTTTAATTTGACCAGAGAGAGAAAGGGAAAGCAAGAAAGCAAGCCTCCAGGTCTGGGACTTGAACCATGGTCAACCATGTGGGAGTCCAGCACCTTAACCACCATGCCGCCTGCCAGCTCCACTATTCCCACGTTAACAATGAGGAAACCACTCTACATCTGTACTGAGTCACGCACTGTATCTGGGAGTACACATCCAACGTGATTCTCTAAACTTACCCTCTTCATAATGGAGGGCCTCTTTCCAGATGTTGTCCGGAGAGCCTTGACTGACCCCTTCCTATCACTGCTGTGGAGTCGAGGTGTCAAGCTGCTTGGGGAGGGGGTGCTCCGAGTGAAAGAGCTCACAGTAGGCAGCAGGTCTCGGACAGGACTGTCCTTCAGCACAAAGGTCTCCCGCCGAGGGCTGGGTTTCACTCTGCGAGGTCCCAGGCCCTCACCTGTACTCTCTCGCTCTTGTAGCGCACACTGCTCCAGCCGAGCTGCTAGCCGGTTGGCTTCATCAAGGATCTCCTCCAGCTTCTCTGGGCTGAGGGGACCTAAGCTGAACCTCACGCCCTGGGGAGCAGGGGCCATTGCATTTGGGTCACTTCGGTGGGAGAGGCCGCGTCGGAGTGGCTTCTCTGGCGTCGCCAACACTGCTATGTCTTCCTCCTCACGACTGAGACAGAAAAGAAACCAGGCACCATGCCCCACAAAAGACAGCAGGAGACTGCGGGGGGAGACTGGGCAAAACCTCCGCAGCAGAGCCAGGGACACAGCCCCAAACCCTGGTGCCCATGCTGGCTGTGGATGCGATACCAGGTTCTATGAGGCCCAATAGGCCTCTAATATTTACTAACACTGCAAGTGATGCCAAGATGAAGATGGAGCAAATCCATTTACCCTTAACAGTCTGAAATCTCGCTCCAGCTCCCCACCTCCATGCAACAACAGTGTCCTAGAGCCCAGTCAACTAGCCACCAGTAAGTCAAGTGCACCAGAATCTCATGAATTACCAACCCAGGCCACAGAGGCCAGTAATTCAACAGTAAGGGGTTAGTGGCAAAGAACTGCTGCTGGAGAAAAATAAGGGGAATAGAGAGGCTGGTACCTGTCAGATGGTGACAGCCCTCCAAAGTCCAAGGTCTCATCCACAATAAACTTTACATCTAAGGGGGAAAGAAGAATGAATGCTTGTCATTGTCCCTGATCCAGCTCTCAATCCAATGGCAGGACCTCATTCTTCCCTCCGGAATTTCCTTACCTTCCTCCAAATCCTCCATGTCCAAACAGCAGGAGCAGCTTGGAGCTGAACTGGAGAGAAAACATACCATTCCTCAGGTATCCATCCTGCCCAAGGCCCCCCGCTAGACTCAGAGTGAAAGCCAGGGGGGATGGTCACGCTGTTGGTAAGTCAAGTGCCCAGGAGTAGCACCTACTCCTGTAACTACCCGTCACGTCCAGGGGCAGATGCGCAGAGCTACCCCTGCATTTCCATTCCTCCCTCCCCAGACTGCCCTCCCGCCCCCTTGCACCAGGGCTTCCCCTCATCTTACTCCCCGCTCCTATCCTCTGGGATCTTCCTCTCCCCAAGTCCCCTTTCCATTCCACTAGGACTACACCCACACCACACCTCCAGCCCACCCTCAGTTTCCACTTCCCGCTCCGCCTTACCTTCCACGCGAGCTTTTCTCCCGCAACCTAGTCCCGGGAATCAGCTCCGAGGGGGCGGGGCTCCTTTCAAATCTCTGAGGCTCCACCCACTCCTACCGCACGCGCGCCAGGATTGGCGGATCCTGAGGAGGCGAGGTTGCGGCGGGCAGCGGCCGGAAGTTTGCAGGTAGGGATCGGACGGAGGGGGAAGAGCAGGTTCTCAAAAGACTCCATCCGGGAAGACGGGAGCTGGAGGGCGGGTTGAGGCCGAGTGCGCACGCGTGTCTGGAAGACGGTCTTTCCACTCCCCGGAGCTGAACAGAGCTGAGCACGGCGGGGGCGTGGCCTCGCGGAGGCGCGAGAGGGAAAGGGCCAATGAATGTGGGCGTGGCGCCCCGCCCCACCCCGTCCTTCCCGCCCCCTCCACCTCTAGCGGGGCTGCAGAACCCGAAGTGTACTGGCCGTTTGCTCGGCGACCTGCGGGCCCAGGGCACGGCTGGGCCACCTAACATAAAGCTGACGCTCTGCCAGGGAAAATGCGTTTCCGTGGATGCATTCAATGTGCAAGCGCCGCATTTGCCAGGCGTCTTCAGTTGTGAATTTTCCACGTTAAGGTAGCACCGAAACACATTTTAGGTATATTGAGGTTCTCTTCGAAGTACACTTTTCATTGCCTTTTTAAGCAAAAACTTTGGGAACCGGAGGAAGCCAGTGTATAAAGAAAACAACGGGCTTTCATACAGAAAGATTTGACTTCACATTCAGTTGTGACTCCACTTACAAGGAGGTCAGGATTGAGTGTATTTGCTCTCTTTGCGCCTCTCCACATATTTGTTAAACAAGGATCATGATCCTGATCCTGCTCGCAATTACAGTGTTAGGAGGATAATTATGAATATCAAGTTTTATACCCTTTCCCTTAGGGGAGTTTGACAGGGTGTTTGCAACTAGCTGCTTCGGAATTGAAAGCTATGTTTGCTTAAGCCTGCTTATTAAGGATGTCCTCTTGTTTCTAAATGTTGCCTGTAAGTAGGCTGGGCTACCCGTCAAAGAGCCTCTTAGAAATGTTCCAGAAATTTCAAGGGAAAAGGCCTTTGAGAATGGCTGAGGAGCTTTTCTGCAAATGAAAAGCCCCAGGAGTCCTCAGAGCGTATGACCATTATTTGGGCCCTTTGTAGGCGTTTTTTACTCCCTAGTTTTTAGCTGTGAAGTTGTGGTGAGATGTGAGGTCTGACTGCAATAACTGCCATTGGAAACAAAGGAGCCTTAGAATTAAGTGGGGTGAAAAGGGAAAAGGTTGGGAGGCCTAGAACTTGCACATTTTTGTGAGGAAGAGCTGATAGGAAGAGAGAGCTTCTCTCTACTGGTGAAGATGGATTTTTTTTTTTAGAATTATTTTATTATTATTTTTAAATTTTGCTACAGAGCACGTGCATTTACCAGAGAGAGACTGAGAGAGAGAGATGAAAAGAAAGCAAGCGGGCCACCAGGTCCGGAACTTGATGAGCAGTTGGCCACAGAGTCCAGTGCCTTAACCACTTTGCCACACGCTGGCCCCCGGGAAGATGGAATTTTAGTTGCTTGCAAGATTCAAGGTCTGTGAAAGATGGGAAAATCAGTAGCTTTCCCTCTCTCCAGGCAAGCAGTGACAGAGGAAAGACCAGACAGAAGCAGCTGTTAATTAACTGCATTCTTCCTTCAGGAGCAGCCTAAGTAGAGGAACTGACTGTTCTTCACCCACCCTTAGGTGAGTGTGCAATTTTAGCACATCGCAAGTTAGCATCTCCTAGGGAAACTCATCTGCAGTGCTCTATCATCAAATTATGATTTCAAAAGCGATTGCAGTACGGGGGGTGGGGAGGGGGAAGCAATGGAACTATTAATACTTTCTCCTCCAACAGAGTAACAGCAAAGCCAGAGAGTACAGATTTCAAGAATACGAATTCTTGAGAACCAGCAGTTAGTGTAATGGCTGTGTCGCTGGACTCCCACGTAGTCGATCGCGGTTCGCGTCCCGGACCCGGTGGCTTAAAGCTCACGCCGGGCACGTGTGCGTGCGTGCCCAAGATCCCGAGAGGAGAATGGAGGAGAAGGGATTGCGGCGTGACCATCCCCCCTGGGGAGTGATTTCTCGCTTTCTGTCTCTCTGTCTCTCTCTGTCTGTCTAGCGAGCGCACGCGCCCTGTAGTGAAAACCTCTCCAAAAAAAAAAAAAGAATATGAATTCTTTACTAAGCACAAGGCCACTAATTCCCGCCCCAATTCCAAGCGTTTACAATTTTGGATAAATAGGGCAGGCTCTGTGGCTGGTGGTTAAGACAGCCAAATTCCACCCTGATCCAGTGGTTGGAGTCCCAGACCCTGTGGCTTGAGGACATGCCTGGTGCATGTCCAAAAATCCCAAAAGAAGGGAGAGATGAAGGAGAAGAGCTTGTGGCATGACCATTTCTCGGGGGGAGGGGGGTGCTTTCTCCCTCTCTTTCTCTTTGTCTCTCCTCAGTGAGTACACATGTCCTTTGGCAAAATTTAAAAAAAGATTTTGGATAAATAATGAGTAAATTAATTAATAAAGAAATTATACCCCCTCCCAGGCATATGGTAGGCTTTAACTCAGAAGGTACTCCTTAAAAGTCAAGTGCATAAATGAAAAAGTTAAGGGTTCTGGTGCAGCTCTCCTTAAATGCGGAAGGATTAGCTGTGACTGTGTCTTGCTCAGTGTGGAGATTGTGTTCCTTTGCCATGAAGACTGAGAACATTTAAGGGCTGGCTCTTGAGTAATTCACCAAGTAGCAGAGGCAAGGGGCTGTGGGCTGAGGCTTGAGGTCTGCCGGGTCCTTAGGGCATCATTCCTGTGGTATTTCACCCCTTCCTGACCTAAGCCCTGCTTCAGCTGGAGGGAGGCCTCTTTGTCATTGTGTAAATGTGACTGGCACTGGCCTCTGATCCCTTCTCCCACATTCTCAGGAAAGCTTCCATAAATGCATTAGGCCCTACAAATGACTTTTGTGATTATATTCTCAGTTTCCCCAAGGGTGGGACATAACCAGTAACATTCTACGTGCATAAGAAGTTAATTTATGACATACAGTGGATGCCTGGTGGCGTGGGGGCTTAATTCTCCTGGAGCTCCAGGGAGAAGGGCTGGAATAGATACCTCACTTCAACTGAAAATAGGCCCCTGGTCTGAACAGAAAAGCTCTTCCCACTCTTAGGCAAATCACATTCCCTTCCTCCTCAAAACCTTGCTTAATATTTATTGCCTTCTGGAAATATTTTCTTTCTTAAGCCCAGGATTCTAACCTAGACTTCCTACAGTGGGGTTCACTGGGTAAGAGAGGTGAGAGGAAGTAGGGAGGTACAGACTCCGACAGGCCTGCTTCAGATCCTGGCCTCTGCTGCTTACCAGCTGCCCGACTTGGGACAGTTTATGAGCTTCAACTCCCTCATTTGTAAAATGAGGATTAAGACAGATGAAACATTTAGTTCCGTGCCTGAAGTATTTAAATGATCTATTATTGGGTAATAAACCAAAATACAGTGGCTTGCAACCACAACAACCGTTCATTGGCTCATGATTTTATAATTTGGGCAGGGCTCTACAAGTCTGACTTGTCTGTACTCCACAAGTTGTTGACTGGGCTTGACTGGGGCTCGAGGGTCCATGGTGGCCATGTGTCTAGGTCGAGGTACTGGCTGTCGGCTGGGATGCTTGGTTGTCCTCCATGTGGCCTCTCATCACTCAGTAATCTAGCTTGCAATTCATAACATGGGAGCTGACTTTTCAGAGCAAAAACCGGAATCTACTAGCACTCTAGACCCAGAACTGTCACACTCTCTCCTCTGATACGTTCTTACCGTCAAAGCAAGCCACATGGTTCAAGG